CGGAGAGGGAGGAGCGGCCATGAGCGCCGCGGGTGGCAGAGGGGCGCGGGCCAGGCGGGGGACGCGTCCCGCAGCTCCGCGGGGCCGGGGCGCGGAGAAGGGCGCAGCCCGGAGCCCCTCGCGGGGCCGCGTCGCGGATGAAAGCCCGAGCAGTACCCTGCGGGCACCGCGGACGGACGGACCCCCCGCCCGGGGCGGCCGCCCGGCGCGGCGAGCCCCCGCCGCCCGGGAGCCGCCAGCGGAAGGGGCGGCGGGCGGCGCAGAGGCGCTCCCCGCCCCGCGGAGCAAGGCTCCGGCCGCCAGAGCCCCCGCAACCCCGCGGAGCGTCGCGGCGGTGCCCGACGGGGAGGTCGCTGCCCCCGCCCGTCGTCCCCCGCCGGTGGCGGACGCCTTGCGGCTCCGGGAGGTGCTGTCGCGGCTCAGTCTGGCCCGCGAAGAAGTGTCCGAGGCGTCGACGCTGGTGAACAGGGTGGTCTTGCACCTGGTCCAGGCCATCCGCGGCAAGGACAGCTGCTTCGGCTCCATCGAGCGGCAGAGCGCCGGCAGCTATTACGAGCGCGTCAAGGTGGGTGCGGGGGCTGCGGCGGCAGGTGGCGGGCACCTTGCACCGGCCGGCCGCGGAGGGCTGCTCTTAGCTGGCCCTTCCCGACGAGTTAAAATTAAGGATGGGTCTGTGAAGTAACGACAATGCATTATAAAATGATCAATATTCTGCTGAACGGTGTTACGCGCATTCAGTCAGAGACCCTACCTGAAGGACTCGCCCTTGCTCAGCACGCAGGTGAGCCCAGTCTAACATGGTCAGGTATAGCACTGCACAAGAAGCTCTGGGCCAGGTTTTAGTTCAGAGTTTTTTTCAAAAAGCAGGAGTTACGGATACAAATTGAAAGAAGGAAAATTTAGATTAGATAGAAAGCATTTTTTTACTGTGAGGGTGGTGGGACACTGGTACAGGGTGCCTGAGGAAATTGTGGATGTGCTAAACCTGACACTATTCAAGGATAGGCTGGATAAGGCCTTAAGCAAGCTGGTCTAGTGGAAGGTATCCCTGCCCAGGGCAGGGTGGGTCAGGACTAGCTATATCTCTAAAGTCCATTCCAGCCCCTTTGCCTTCTGTCATTAACCAGTACCTTATTTTTCCTGGTTCCATCAGACTGAAAGAAAGTCAAACATCGGGACAATTTTTTTTTTCCTGTCCAAAACCAGCTTCAGACGTAGCAATGCATTTTTTTTCCTCACAGTTGATTCTGATACGCAAAAGGATGACTGAATACAATATTTATGCACTAATTATTCAGAACAGTTCAAGAATCTTAAAACTGTCTTAAAAAATTAATAAGTTGGAGAGCTGGGAAGTGAGCTGTAAATTGCTATTTTCCACCCCAATGCACAGTAATCTTGCAATACCACAGAAATAAGCTCATATTTCACATTTGACATGATTAGTACAGCAAGGTAGATAAAACCACAACTGGTATAATAATCTCAAGAGAATAAAACCTAAGTTGCACACTGACTGTTGTATTTTCATATTTGCAGATAACTGAACCAAATGAGTTTGACATAATGCTTGTAATGCCTGTTGCAAGGATTCAGCTGGATGAGTCTGATGATACTGGAGCCTATTATTATGTATCATTCAAAAGAAATCCAAAAGAAAAGGGTTGGTCAAAGTTTTTAGAGGAAGATGGAAAATTATCAGCTTTTAAAATGCTTCAAGCACTAAGAGACATTATTAAACAGGAAGTAAAAAACATTAAAGGTCAGTACTGAGAGAGTAAGCTTCACCATAAAGTGCTAAAAATCCAGTTGCACTGTGCATATGTGTTGCCCTGGTGTTAAGAAGATACATCTTCCTGCCAGTCCTCTGTCTCTGTGCCAATGGAGCTGTGACCCCTCCAGTCCCCAGTATCTCAGCCTGGCTCTTGTGTTTCTAAGAATCACAAATGCATCAGGGGTAACTTGTTACATTAACTCCACTATGCATATTTTCTGTATGAAAATAAGAAACATTAAGGGTCCTGTTGCATTTTTGGTATTTCCTACATGCAATAGGAATGCAATCCTACATTCCTACATCTTGCATCTATCTGGAGTATACAAAGAGCCATTTGCTGAAGTGGTAGCAAAACAGTGAGCTTTCTTTTATACAGTACCTAAGGCTTTTTTATTGATCAGTACAGAAACTGTATCCCAGTTATTTTTATATATATTTTATATAAATATATTAAAATAACCCCTCTTAGGGTTAGTTTTTATTTATATTATTTATATTTTTTTAAATTTATATTATTAAAACCTTCAGAAACATTGTGGCCAGATCTCTTAACAGTGTTTTCAACAGGGAAGCAGTTCAATGAAAAACATTACTGTATTTTTAATTACTAGACAGTAAATCAAGCAAACACACTAGTGTTCCCTGTTTCACAGAACTCGTCAACAGGCCTTCTCAATGTTTCAATATCCTGCAGGATAAAGAACCAGTGACAGAACCCAGGTATTTCTTTTGATTGCTTATGAGCTCTATAGTAAAAACTGTAACATTCTTCAAAACAAAGGTTTCATTTAACTAATCTATCTATCTAACATGAAATATCACTTTCTTTGTTACTAGATGTGGAAGTCACTGTGGCAAGGAAAAAGGCTGGAAGCCCTGCAATAACTCTTCAGATCAAAAATCCTCCATCAGAAATATCAGTGGACATCATCTTGACTTTGGAGGTTCAGCAGAGCTGGCCTCTCAGCACACAGGGCGGCCTCAAAGTTGAACAGTGGCTGGGAACAAAAGCCAGGAGGGATTTCAGATTTAGATCACTTTATTTAGTAGCCAAGCAAAACAAAAGAGAAAAAGTTCTAAGAGGTACCTCAAATATGGACAATAATAACTTGGGAAATATCTTCTCTACAACTTAATCACTTAAAAGTGCCATAGAAAGGTTATCCAGATCATGTTCAGTGTTCCACCTTTAAGACACCTCACCCTGGATATATCCAGCTCAAGACAACTGAAATCCCTCTTTAAAGCATCAGATTTGTGGTACTGCTTGTCCTGTACAGAAATGGAAATACAAACCCACTCTGCCAGGCTGTATGTTAACCATTACTAAGAGCATTATATTAAATCCACTTCAGCCAGACAGATGCATATGAGCCTTGCCTTGCACTAGCACCATACTTAACAGCAGCTTGCACTCTCTTGTAAGGAAATTAGAAGAAAGCTGCTAAAAATGCAGGGAACATCCCTGTACATGGGACTGCATCCACAAATCAGATACTTCTGCAAGGAAGCAAACTTTTCTATCAAGATACATTACTTCTCACTGAACTCTGGTATGGCTACAACGTTTTTTCCTCCAGACCACTGTCATATGGAGCCTCCATTAGTTTGCAGAAACATTCTGACTTGTCAATGCATTATGGTAACGGATGATTTCATCAAAAAGATTTCAACCATTCTGGTGTCTTTTTAATTTGCATGCCCATGCTATCAAAGCCCAGTACAGCAGTCCTGATTTATCTGGCAATTTCTTCCTGTGCAAATTAAATGCAAAGAGTAACTGAGCCTAACAGTGTAATTCATGAAAAGAAGAAAAAGTGATTGCTGGTGTTAAAAACAGGCATTGAGCTATATTAGCAATTATTTTCAAAAGCACAAGCAGAAGAACAAAAAGAAGTACTTTAGAACAGTCATCTTACCTAAGACAAACTCACAAACCTATTACTTGCACAAAGAAAACCCAGAAACCCAGTACAGAAATTAAAAGGTTATGGATTTCTATGAATAATGGAGTTCTCTAAAAAACGTTCAGCAAATCCAGCGATGTTCAGAATTATTTTAAAACCAAACATCTTTAGGAATTTAAAGCATCCAAACAATTAATTATGTTCTATATTATTTACATTCTAATTATCATCATGAAGCAGCTGGGGAATTAAGGAGGAACTAACTGCATTCACTGAATTAAGATTTTTTTTTTAGTGGGTGCAAAAACATTGCTGGTATTTAAGTCAATTACAAAATTGTGGTTTTTTCTAACTACAAAAGCTGATGCTTAGTGCTGTGTAACCATTTAACAGTCGTGTTCTTGACTTCAGGGAACACCTGGCGACTCTCCTTCTCGCATATTGAAAAGGACATGATAAACAATCACGGCAACTCAAAGACATGTTGTGAGTCCGATGGACCAAGATGCTGCAGGTTGGTATTACACAGGAATATTTTACTTTAAGTCTGTGTGAGCTGGGCTAGCACTAACACTGTTTCAGTTTAGCATTGAAGAATTTGATCTAATAGTAATTACTCATAATAGGAAGCAAGAGTCTTAGGCATAATTGCTCAACAGCAATACAACACTGCATGTGCTTGCTGAATGTCTGACTTTAACCTAATGAAAGGTGGAAACAATCACATTACTGGTTTACACTCCAGACTTGCCTTAGAATGCAGGAAGATATGACTTGCTAAATTACTGTTCCCAAATTCAGTCCCATTTAGAAAATACAGCTTTAAAAAGTGAAGATTCCACTTTCTGAGCAAAATTACACTTCATATCAAGGCAGTTTCTAAAATAATGGTGAGAAAACTGCTGAATGAGATCAAGATGAATAAGTGATTTTTCACTTCTATGAGAACTGTTTTCCAGATTTCTTCAAGGAAGAACAAAACCCACATGAGGCTCAAAATCTCCTTAACAAGTAAACAAAGAAGTTGGTTTGCCAATTACATCTTGCACTGAATCAAGAAAGTCACAAGAAAATTAATGCATAATTGTGTTTAAATATCTGAACTACATATTTAGAACTATGGAGAAGGTACCTAATATATATTTTTTTTTTTAACAGAAAAGGTTGCCTTAAGCTGCTGAAGTATCTTCTAGAGCAACTTAAAATGAAATATCCAAAAGAATTAGAAAAATTCTGTTCATATCACGTGAAAACTGCTTTTCTCCACTCCTGCGTCACGTGGCCAAATGACTCAGACTGGCACTTGGGAGACCTGGATCATTGCTTTCAGCAATGTCTGGGATTTTTTGTGGATTGTCTGCAAAAGTCTCAGCTGACTCACTTTTTTATTCCCCAATACAACTTGTTCAGCCTAGAAGATAAGGCAAGACATCATTTCCTTTCAAGAAAAATAAGCCATGAATTGAACAATGGATTCCCAGTATTTCATGAGAATTATTAAGAACATTGCTCACAATAGATACCTAATCATGTTGACTTGCCTATTTAAAACAAAATAGTCTGCACCACTCTTCTCTTCAGTTGTCTGGTACTACAAAAACCAAAAAAACCAAACCAAAATAAAATCAAGAACACAAAGAGAAAAAATACATACTTCAGTTACAGTGCCTTGCCATAACCCTTAAAATAAATGTTTTAAGTAATATTTACCTTGCCTACCCAAATGCAGATGTCACCTGCAAAATATCTTCAAGATATACTAAGAACATAAAGAAGAATTTGCAACAGTTCATTTCACACATGTAAATTCTATGTTTTCAAGTACAAAGGCATCAATGACTGCATAAAGGGAAAAATGACAATTTTATTTAAAATTAAGCTCCACTGCAGAATATCCAAAATACACTCCTGCTTTCAAAAGTCACTGGAGTTACTTTGACATTACATTTGAGTAACCAGAACAACTTCCCCAGATCACCTGTGTGGATGAAGATCTTTTGCAGAGGACAATCACCAGCAACAGCAGAGAGAGAATATTTTATCTGAGTAATATGAAGTTCCTGAATAACTCACCCTTTCTGCGTCTTCAGAATTACTTTAGAAATCAGTCTTTTCACTGGGCTTTGGATGAGAAACAATCATTATCTAAAATGATGCAACAGAGTAGATGGTTTTGTGCCAATGAGCATTTATTTGTATGATGACTCATGTAGAAAGAAATGCATCTTTCAACCTGTATCAAAGAGGAGGACTCTTGATATAAAAGGTTATCAAAACCAAAATGCAGCATGAACTGGACACTCCTGAAATTGAATTCATATCCATTTTTCTCATATTTAAGAAATGTGTGTTAGGAAAAAAAAGTATTTAATATTTCCTATTACTAAAATTGTGCAGGTGAGAAGTACACAGCATTTGAGAACTGCTGTGCTGCAAATAAATGTCTTTTGCTTCTACTTATAGAAGCCATGAGAAGTCCATGTTTTTAGCCTAATTTTGAAGGCAAAATAACCTACAGGCTTGAATAATGCCCAGATTTACCTAAATTATGAGCAAATTTAGAGGGAAGAATATTCACAGAGTAATTTTACTAAAAGATTTTAATTTTACTGAATTTTGTTTATTTTTATTTAATCATATGACAGATAAATGGGAGTTCAGACCAAGCATCAAATGAAGGAGTAACTCATTCCCATATAAATTTGAAAGAGTAGAAAATATGCCCCATTATTACTGGGCATCTGTGTGACAGAACTTGACATCCAAATGTAAAGTGTAAATCAACTTTATCTGGAAGAAATAAAAGCTGATCTTCAAATATATTCTTTTCTCCATGACTTTGTTAACATTGCTCTAAGTAAATTCTGGTTTTGTTCCTTAAGCTAGAACATAGCCACAAAAAACAGAGTAGAAGCTGGTCTTCTTCCTCAGTTAGCCACAAACAAGTACTTCATCATGCTCTCTCCATTACAAGAAAATGCAGACCTCTCAAAAAATCTTGAGACACAAGTGTTAACAAAAATTACTTCCAATGTTAAATTTTAAAATAACAATAAAGGAAACTTGCTTCAGCAAACATATGTAATGGCAAACAGAGCAGTTTTCATTATCCTGAGAAATACTTCTGCATGTCAGTGGCATGTCAAGGCAAAGGTACAGTATTTTGAAAATACATTGACAAGCATTGCTTACAATGAACAATCCATTTCTCTGAATATGAAAGGAAAAATCTTTTACATTCTTATATATTAATACTTCATTTAACTAAAAAAAAAGAACCAACCAACAAAGCCACAATATTTGATTTTTACCAGCAGATAATGGCTTTAGAAGTTTCATACATCACACACACAAAAAAAAAATATTAATTTTTATGTGAAAATAGTATCCAAGTGCAAAACCAGATTAATTCCTATAGAAAGTTAATACAGTTTCCTTTTCTAAGACATTTTTGAGAAGTTTGTTTTCTGTAGCTGTCCTATTAAACAATCAAACACAAAATGAAACTTATAAATTCAAGCCCATGGATGCTAATACTAATTAAAATAACTTTCTCTATTTCAGTTGCTTCAAGGGATTATACTCATTTTGAGGACTTTCTCCAAGGTCTTTGTATATCCTTTTCACTATCTTTTCTCATTTGTGATTGCTTGTATCTTTCTGCCATTGCAGTAAGTTCATCAGGAACTACCTAATAAGAAAGCAGGCAAAAACACAAGGTGAATTTTAAACAAATCTAAACTTTTAGATTCTGCTTTAAGAAAATGCTATTGATCTGTGTGTTCCCAAACTTGATATACTTATTTATCTGACTCCTGTCACTCTACAGATTCTTTTCCGTAGAAATGCAGAGAGAAACCATTTTACATAAGATTGTACTGAAATATAATGAAAAATAATCATCATCATGTCTCTGGATTTTCAATAATATGTCTATGCTTGCATCACTGTATCTGATGGCAGCATAGAACCAGCTAATTAAAAGATACATTTTTACATGTTCCTTTAATGAAAAGGAACAGCTGGTAAAAACATCCAGTCCTACTTAAAGGTGATATAATAATATATACATATATTTGAATGTTGATTTGTATTAAATTCCTTATGGAAGTTTTTAGAGCCTCTGAAGAGAAATTTTGTTACTTAAAGAAAATGTTGTCAAAGGAACAGTTCTCATGTGGTTAGAGCAAATCTAAAAGACAAGGAAAGAAGGGCAAGAGAAAATGGTCAGATCTCCCACCACTGGGAGGTCGCAAGAACATCTTACCAAGATCCATGGGGGTTTTTGGAATGTTTGTAATTATGTGGAAAACGTGAAAAGTATCATCAAAACACTCTCACTTCAGAGCTTTTACTGACTGAGGCCTGATATGAAGAATTACAGACAGATTTATTAGGTTGAGTGACAGTGATGAAAAAAAAAGTCCCAGATACCATTATTTTGCTCACAGAACATAGGCAGTATCCAACAAAACTTCTTAAACCAGATCAGGCATAGTGCTGACATTAATGCAATGTTTACTGCAAAAAGCACTGTGGGCAACTGTACTATCAAGAGGTCTCGGATCACTGATCTGTCAAAGCCAGCCCACTTCAACAATCTGCAATGGCACACGGCCATGAGTTGAGTTCACCCTGTCCAGAATCAGTCTCCTGATCACAGCAAAGGCAGTGTGTGAATGTGTTATTAACATGATTGCTCAGCATGTGTGATTTGTGTCTGCCAGTAGCGCAAATACAGTGCAAACAGCAGAGTACAAACAAATGTAAATACCTCAAGGTCTCCCTAAAAGTGCCTGGGCTTGGCAATGCTTGAACAGGTGGAGAACGCAGCCAGGACAAAAGGTCTGGTGAAATAGGAAATCATATTCCTCTAGTTTCCATTTATTTTGTCAGGTTTTATAATTGAGCAATGCTTGCTATTTGCTATCAGCAACTTTTTCTTGAGCTGGCATGAGGGACAGCTCGCTTGTGTATGTTTTATGTACTGGTAAGTGACTATCCTGGCAAAATATGACAACTCTGGAAGAGTCTATTCTGCCTAAGTTTCAAACATTATTTAAAAATGAACTTAAAAATTCTGTATCTCCAGCTGAAAGTCACAGCAGATTTATCAGTGGAGATAGAAGCATTGAGACAAAGTTATTTTTCACTTGATACATTGGATGATTTTCTTCTGCAGTATCAGATCCTCTCCTAGACCTCGAAGTGTAACTTATTCCAAACTAAAGTCGCAACAATTTATTGCAGGAGTGTTTTTTGAGCAAACACAAGGCAAGAGGGAAGAAGTGAGACTACAGAAACATAAAAATCACAGTGAGGTAATATCCAGCATCTAGTGGCTTGTTGAGAATTTTCATGAGCAATCTGTGTATCTGCGAAACATATAAGCCTGGGTAGGGTAGTCCAAGTGAGAAAATAGAAAAGGATAAAGATGCCATAATTTATATGGAAGGCTTCTCTTGGTATTACAGAGATTACTGTTTTTCTACCTGTTTTCCAATAAATATGTCCATGCTTCTTAATAAGCTTTTATATATAAAAGATTCCTTCAGCATGAAACAGACACCTTATTGCTGTATCTGTTTTTCTTTATATAATCTGTAGATTCAAAATCACAGAGAACATTTGGCTAACAAAAGGAGTTAACTTGTTTTGAAATCAAAGTATTCCGAACCTTCAGTTCTCTACTTACTTTTACATGATGCTTTAAGACTGAAACAATGGTATTTTCATTGTCATTAGAAAAAACCCCAATACTTTGTCTGTAGGGATACTTCCTTTCTATCAGACATAACTAAGTTTGAGAATAATGTTGTGCCTAATAGTTACTTCTGAAAGCAAGGATTCAGAGTTCCTCTTTTCTCCTCTGAACTCAGAGACTCATTCCCAGTTGAACTATCAGACATTACAAAAAAAAAAAAACAGTTTGAGAACTTTGCAGTCTGCAGCTGGAGACAAGGCTTGAAAGGGAATTGCTAACTCAGAAAACAAACACAAGGCACCTCTAAAGCAGCTTCACAGTACCACTACTGGTTTCACCTCTTGCATTTTCTGAATAAAAACAAAGCAAAAAAATCCCACCCCAGCCAAAAATCCCAAATCTGCAACTTTAAGGAATTATTAGGTGACTACTCTTCTATGCCTTTTTTTCTCCTTTTCCTCCCGCAAAAAAATCTTACTAAGTTTGGAATAAAGCAACATAATATCTTTCTAAGAAGAGTTACAAACCAAAAGATTGAGGTGAAGTTTTAACCCAAGGTTTGAAGTCTGAGTAAGTGTCCATAGTAAAAACCAGAGATTTGAGGTAAAATCCATTTAGTATATACTCAAACTCCCATCCAAAAAACCAACCAACCAAACATCACAACCCAAACAAACAAAATTTCAGCTAAAGTGAGGACTTGAACTGGGGGGTTTACTATAAATCAGACAAAATATTGTTCCTTGTTACAGCAAGAAACAGCAACACTGTTGTCTCTGTTTTCTCAGATATGGTATTAAGAAAAAAAATGCTGCTTAAAAAAAAGAGATCACATTCCAGATCCATTTCCCATACTATTTACAAGCATCAGTAAGGAAGACAGCTTGGAAGATGTAGGTGTCACAACTGTCAGATACAAGAAACAGATAAAATATTTGAGCTTCTTCTGATATAAGTATTGTTAATATTTACACTGTTAAGAACATTGGTACATGCATCCAAAAGTGAAATCCAAATGGAATAAAATATTATGACATAAAATAAACTGTACTACTCTTCTGCAGACCTCACTGTGTACGTTAGTTACTTTTTCCACAGTTCCTTCCTGGAATTCATCTGTAAGGTAAAATACAGCTAGGGCTATCTAGGACAAGACAGACTGAAACACATTTTTTTTTCCCATGAGACAGCACAAACACCAAGAGGGGTCTAAATAGGCTTAGAACTTCATGACCTACTTCAGATGCTAACTCAAAACCAATATAATTCTTACCCAGTAACGTATTCTTACTTGGTTTGCTCTTTTCAGAATGTCAATCAGCTCGGACGCAAACCTCCAATCATTGCTTGTGACAAGTGTTACTGCCTCCCCAGTGCGCCTAAACAAGGAAGAAAACAACTGCTGATCTTCAAAACAACTCTAGCCAGGCTTTTACTACTGACTTAGGTAGTAATGAGCTGTACTACAGGCAATATTACTGAGCTGATAGAATAAAAGTGGTTTGAGCATTAAGTCTGCACATGACAGAAGGCAACTTTTCATAAAAATTAGAATACAGCAATTCACCCATAATGGAGCAAATGCACAACTAATTTAGCCTTTTAGATAATAAACATAGCATAATGGCAACATATTTTAGTATGAAGAGACACATATTCATGATTAAATGAGAAAAATCACACTTGTGTCAGCCTGGGAAAGTGGCATCCAAAAGAACTACCACTAAACCACACCACCACGACTGGCTGCAGACTTTGAACCTACAGATGCTTCTTCTCAATGTGCTGTCTAGGAAATTAAATAAATCAGCAGCCCATGAAGAGATAAACAAGGAAGTAACATTCCAGAATATCAATGCAAATTATTTTTCTAATTCTTCCTCATATTTAAACCAGCTTACAAGCACCCTTCATTCAATAACAGGAAGGTGCAAAACCTGTTTGCCTTCAATTTAACAGTGAATTCATTTAAAGACAAAGCAGTGTGTTTCGAGAATATACTTTGATACACTGAAGTCTTTACTGCCCCACCCCACATCACCTGTAGCCT